GATATATTTCTAAACTGAGTGGGAAAAGTAGGTTCACCATAAAATTATTAAATATATAAGCTTTTTATTAGAGCTGTGCGGGAATGTTTAACAACAATATCTATTGCCTACAATTCACAGCCACGTATATATCTTAATGTCACATATATAAGATCTTGAGCGTTCAATATTAAAATGGAATAATCACAAATATCTGCATAATCTTGGTAATATTGACCACAATTAATAATTGTGCATAATTTATGTAGATATTCCAAATTGCAGTATTCTATTTGAATTCAAAAAATCTCATAGATTGCTGGATAAACAGCTAAAATGATATAAAATAAATAATCTGCATTAAATGTATATATTTATATTTATACAATATGTATATAATATGTATATATATATACATATATGTATATATGTATATATATATATATATATATATACATATATATATATATATATATATATACATATATATATATATATATATATATATATATATATATATATATATATATATATATATATATATATTATATATATATATGTATATATATATATATATATATATATATATATATATATATATATATATATATATATATATATTATATATATATATATATATATATATATATATATATATATATGTGTGTGTGTGTGTAGTGATTTTAGTAGAGTACAACCAATCAAAAAATAATGTACAAATAATTACATATAAAAAAATTCTAGAAGGAACCCCTGAGTTGTGTATACTCACAGAGCTCAGCTAATAGTTCATGCAGCATTTGTAAATTTATAATATCTATTTGAAAAACTAATTAAAAGTTTATTTTAAAAAGATATTCAGCTGCCTACCATGCAGTTATGTTATTAACATTCTAGCACACAGCATTGAGTAGTCAAGAACTAAAAGGTACATAAATTGTACAAAAAGCAATATTAAACAATTAATTTATGGTAAAACTAAATAAATGTTATAATATACCATTTATTTACTTTTCATTTTAGTTTTACCACTAATTCCACTAATAGGTTAACTAGTAATAAACTATTAATAATAGGTTATCACTACTTATATAGAGTAACCTAGTGGTTTATCTACTAGGTTTTAGGTACTATTTTCTTATGTGCTCTTTACTAATGTTAAAATAAACTAGTTTGTAATTAATTTAACTAAAAATTTTTATCCTATTTAATTAAATTTTTTACAAAAAAAAATTTTTAATGACAAACTTACTGTTTAGAAATTAAATAAAATAAACTTACTGAGAAACAAACTTACTGTTTAGAGTATATTTTGTTAAACAAAGTATTACAAATATTTTAGAAATTTACGTAAATATGTAATAATGTGTTTCTTTCAAAAATAGTTCTTATGTAAAATCAAAAATTATATTTGTATTTGAGACTTGTAAATTTATTTTTATATAAAAAAAGATATAAAAGTTTGTTACGAAAATTTCTAAACTTGTAATAAACAAATACGCCGCCATCTTGGGAGGCCAAAACTGGCTCAAAAAATTTGCCGTATACGCTATCCAGTTATATTTTGAGATCAGTGGTAGGTACCCATTTTTAGCCACAGGTCAAAAATGGGCACCCTCAAAAGGTGCCCATTTTTAGCCACAGGTAGGTACCCATTTTTAACCACATTGATCCACAAAATCTTAAATTATTTATTAAATAGTACAACTTTTTAGGCTGAAAAACTACAAAATCCATAATGGCGGACTTGAAAAAAAATGGAACGTTTTAGGCTGAATGTCAAAGTGTCATAACTTTTGAACCCTTTGGATTTGGGAGCACAAATTTTACATTTTTTCATGTTTAATTGTTATGTACCACTGGGTAAAATTAAAAGAAAATAAGAGAGGTGACTGAAACAACTGTCCCAGTTTAAAATGGAGTTACCCTAAGTAATTAGGGCTGCCATGGAAAACAAGTTACAAAGTTGAATATTTGAGCAAGAGATTAAGAAATTAAAAAAGTTATCAACTTTAGAGCCAGAAAGGTCAGTACAATAACAACAATATTGACTAAAAACAACAACATTAACAACAATAATGTCTAATAACAACAACAATATTGACTAAGGAAATATAAGAGTTCAATTTGGTAAGAAAACAACATCAAAAATAGTGCACTCTCAGGAAGAAGGAAAATGATAATAAAAAAAAAAAATGAAACAGCGATTTAGCAAAGAGGTGAATTGAATGAAATTGGAGGTCAAAAGTGAAGTGCAAGCGATGGAATATAAAAGAATTTTATAACTTGAATTAGTGATAAATAATTCAATTGGTAATTGGTAATTAGGATTCGTGAATTAAATTATTATATAATAGTTTAATTAGTAATTAAAACTTGTAACAAAAAATTCCATTGGTAATTGGAATTCGTAACAAATAATTCTATTGGTGATTGGAATTCGTGACAAATAATTCAATTGGTAATTGGTAATTGGAATTCTTTATATCAACTAATTATATAATAAAAATTATATTAAAAAGTTAGCATACTTTCACATTTTAACAAAATACATATTATCTGTGTAAGAAAATATTATATCAAATTTATTTTTTATGTATAAATCAGAAAAATTTTTTCGTTATGAAAATTTTTTTTTGACAAATTTCTCTGGTTATACTGACTTGCATCACTTACAGAGTAAAGAAAAAAGAAAAAACACTTAGAGAGAGAGTTCAGGGTAAATAAAAAAAAAAAAAGAAATGTTCAAAAAGATTACAGAGCAGAAAAAAAAGAAAAATCACTCAGAAAGTGGAGGAAAGAATAAGAAAAAATAAGGATGAAAAAAAAAATAAATGAATAAATTTAAGGTCAGCTATTTTATTGTGAATTAATATCCAAGTTTGAAAAACTCAAAACCATCTAGTGAAGCAACTAATCATTGAAGCAACCATTTTTATGTTAAAATACTTTGGTTGTTAAAGAACTTTTCTTACTGCAATGTAAAAAAGATTTTGAAACTAGTTTTTTATTCTTTAATTAAAGCAGATAAATATACTTTTAAAATTATATCTTCAAGCAATTGAGAATCCTGAACAACTGAGAATCCTGAACAACTGAGAATCCTGAACAACTGAGAATCCTGAACAATTGAGAATCCTAAACAACTGAGAATCCTGAACAATTGAAAATCCTGAATAATTAAAAATCCAGTACAATTAAGAATCCTAAACTAGATTTCAATCTGATAAAAAAAAAAAAGCAGAACTGATAATACATACAATCTACATACTATGAAATTAAAGAATGAAGCAAAAAACTCTTTTTTTATTCAAGCATTTAAAACTTAAGTCCATAAAACTTAAAACCACTTTAGCAAAAAGTTTGTAAATACAAAATAAGTTTTTTTAAAACAAATAAAGTTTTTGATAAAATTATAAATCTATGTGAAAATTTTATTATACAAAATTTTTTTATAGATTTATAATTTTTCAAAAAATTATTAATCTAAAAAAGTTGGAATAATTTTTTGATATAAAACTCATTTCCCATACATCTCTAATGTATTGATATATATATATATATAATATATATATATATATATATAATATATAAAATTATATATATATATATATATATATATATATATATATATATATATATATATATATAATATATATATATATATATATATTATATATATATATATATCATTTTTAAATTGCAAAACACTACAAAAAAAACTCAAATTAAAATTTAAATTTACATAAAAATATGAGTCCGCAGTTTGAAATGTTTGGGTTTCTTACAAATTAAGGTACCAGACAATGCACCATAATGGATATACTATTTAATTTAGTTATCTATTATATCAGCTATCTGTTTTGTCAAACTTTATGTAGCAACTTGAAAAAGTTTCAAAGCGTTGATTAAAATAGCTTGAGTCCAGCCTATGAATATTTATAGGGTTCGGGATCAGGTCCGGGTCTAATACGTCTTTTTGTCTTGCAACTTTAACAATAGAATGATTGGATTTTTCGTGTTCCCTCCAATTAAAAAAATAGATTCGGTAAATTTTTCAGTAAATAAAACAACTTTTTGTTTCAAAGCCTAACTTAAATATACTAATAAATAATTATAGTTATGTTAAACTACCAAATAGACTTGACAGTACTTTAAAAAAATATATAATATAAATTAAATACTAATAAGTGTTTAATATACAATAATTTATTAAGTTTTTCCTCTAGTGTTGATGCTAATGCATTTCCTCTAGTATTTTCATTATTTTGAGTTGAATGTCCCTGTTCATAATGTGTATTTTGTTGTTCTTCATTTCTATCAAATTATCTTAACTTTCTTATCATAAAGCTAATTGCTAATTGGAATGTTGCAAGATTAGCATCATTTCTGCTAAAATCTTTAACAGTTAGTTTAAAAGGCTTTAGCCTATTGTCAACTCATGTTTAAATTTAATATTTTCTATTAAGTGCACACTTCCAATACCTTAAGGAGCTTTTTCAATAATGATTGAAAAAACAATGAAAATTGTTTTAAAATACATTAGTGAATAATATAATTTATATTTTGATTATATAATGCCTTTTTCTGGATTAGGTTTACCAAACAAATTTTTAATTGACAATTTTGACCCAATGGTCAATTTATTAAATTTTTTGACTGTGGGCCTCCCTAATAATAATATAAATGCAGCCCTATCTAAGCATGCTATTAAGCATAATACAGCTGCCTAGGAACGTTAGGGATTCACAAAACAACCCGCTGCATATAAAACGACGCCAGGAATTCAAATCACGAGACTCGCCGTGTCTTAGACCGGGTATCAGTTCCGGGTATTTAGCTACAGACTCGCAGAGTCCAAGTACAGGTACCCAGAACCAAAAAATCCTAGAGTTTTGGGAAACCTTATCTCTGAAATAATGCAAGATAAAAGATTATCACAATTAATATAGGAGATAAAAGCTTATTATAATTCATACGGAACAATATCAATAAAAATATTAATTATAAAACGTACTTACCAATGAGTTAATAATTGTTGAAACATTTAGTAAGGTTTCCTCATTGTTCAATCATAATAACCCATTCAGATTTATAACAAATATGCTGACAACATCAGCATTATCTGAAATCATCCACTCAATTAGCTGATTCTTACATACTTTAATGTTAAATAGTGTTCCAATAAAATATGCAGCAGATCCTGAAAAACTGTATATATAAAATTACTTATTATTAATTATTTCAAACAACTTGTACATAGAAACAGGCACAAGATCTTTAGATAAATTAAAAAAAAAAAGAAAGAAAAGTATAAAACAATTTAATGTTAAGTTAAAAAAATAATAATAATAAGGTATAACTGTAACAACTGTTTTAAACAGTTGCGAAGTGCAATAACATAAGATATTGCACTGTAACAGCTCATTTTGTCTTTTGTTTGTGTTTTAACAAATAGTTTCTGCAAAATCCAGCTCTGTCTAGTTTGTTTTTGAAGTTATTTATTGAAGTAGCTTCTATTATTTCAGATGGTAAGCTGTTCCACGTATTTTCAACTCGATTTTGGAAAAAATGATACCTGAAGGTATTTCTGCTGAAAGGCTTCCTCATTTTGAATTTGTGCTGTCGCAGACATGGACCCTCCTCCAATGCATTTCCACAATCATTAGCAACCTAATTTATTTTATCGTGGCCATGCTGAATTTTATATTGTTGAATTAGATCTCCACGTAGTTTACGTTCTTCCAGTGAAGTTAATTGCATAATATTCAACCTAGCCTCATATGATAATTTCCTAATTGTAGGTGCTAGTTTGGTTGCTCTTTTTTGGATTTTCTCAATCTTGTTAATGTCTTGTTTTAAAAATGGAGACCATGCCTGGGCCGCAAACTCAAGATGTGGACATATGAATGTTGTATAGAGCATTTTCACCATGTTTACATCTAAATATTTAAAGCTTCTCTTTATGGTACCTAACATTCTGTTTGCTTTGCTGGTTGCTGAATCAACTAGTGAGTGCCATTTTAAATCGGATTGAACCATTATACCCAAATCACGTTCAGCTTTTGTGTTACACAATGTATAATTGTAATTGCAATCAATATCAGTCATTATAAATGTAGCATTTGGATTTTTTTTCCCAATATGCATAACTTTGCATTTTTCATAATTAAATTTTGTGAGCCAAATAGATGACCATGCCATTATATTATTTATATCATTTTGAAGGCTATTGAATCATTTGGATTTTTTATAATATTTATTATTTTACTATCATCAGCCTAAATTTTAATAGGGTTTTTGACTTGATCTGGCAAATCATTAATAAAAATCAAAAACAGCAGTGGTCCTAAAACTGACCCCTGTGGTACACCACTAATAACTGGTAGCCAATCTGAGACAGTGTCGCCAAGGACCACTCTCTGTTTTCTGTTAGTTAAAAAGTTCTCTATCCATCCCAGATAATTTCTCACAATACCATATGATTGAAGTTTAGTGATCAAACGCGAGTGTGGGACTTTATCAAAAGCCTTTTCAAAGTCTAGATACAACATATCAACTGAGTGGCCATTTTCTAGTGCATCTGTTATGATATCAAGAGTTTCCAATAGGTTTGTTGTGCAGCTTTTATTTTTTCTGAACCCATGCTGATTTTCATTTAATAAGCTGTTATTTATTAGATAATCCATAATTTCATCTCTAATGAGTGATTCCAAAACTTTACAAGGGATAGAAGTCAATGAGATTGGCCTGTAATTAGATGCAATGTTCGTATTACCTTTTTTAAAAATTGGTGTTATATTTGCTAATTTCCAGAGTTCAGGTAATTTTTTCTTAGTCAACGATTTTATATATATTAAATGTAATGGTTCACAGAGAGTACTATGACATTTATTTAAAACATATGGGCTTATCCCATCTACTCCGATAGCTTTGTAAACATCTAATTTTTTAAATTTTTTATCAATAGATGGCCAAGTTACTTTACTATTTTTATTACTTCTAGACTAATTTCAGTCTTCTGCGGTATATTTGGTAAGTTATGTTTATCTTCGTTAACACAAACTGAATTAAAACTATTGTTTAA